TCTGAATTATTTTTTCTCAGTCTTCAAGCCTTTGTCGCGTCGTTGTGATGTAATCGGCCTACAAATGCGGCCTCAGGAGGATGTAGCCTCTGAATTTGGACACAGCTACTCTGTAACCAACAACATTAGCTAACTGATGTATGCTAGCTACCAAATCCTTGATGGAATCCATGAGTTTCCTAAATAGTTCCTGAATAGTTAAAAATGTGTGAAAACTGGACATCAGATTAATTTTGCTACTTACTGTATCTTGTGGATGTGTACAATATCATATGCATCCTTAGTTTTAGCTTTTATCTTTGACCAAATGATCAATAAACGAGTGTGGGCCTGTGTTCCTACTCTTTGTTCTAGGAAACCTCTTCACATTCTACATGATCTGTTTCCGTAATTGTGGGATGTCCAGCACAGCCATCATCTACCTCAGTTGTCTAGCTATTGCTGACATTTTCTACTTGGTGTGGGTAATTCTTATTGACCTAACTCTCGCCTTCTGGACCCTGCAGCCCTTCTGGCACTCTTACCCTTGGTGTAGCATTCTGGGATTTTTGCAGTATGGGTCACTCTACAGCTCCTCTTGGATTGTGGTGGTGTTCACCATCGAGCGTTACTTGGTCCTCCGCAGCACGGCTGTCAAACAGCATTTGTCACAAACTAGGGTCACTAAGCTTACCTGCATAGCTATTGTGCTGGTATCCCACCTGGTCTCTGTGCCTCTGGCTTGGATCAATATTGTCACACCTGTGAACCTCACAGTGGATGGAGAGAACATCACATTGCCCAGATGTCTATACCGCAATGAGACCTACACTACTGTTATAGTGTGGATAACTACATTCCTCTCAGGAGGAATTCCGATCGTGTTGGTTATCATTTTCAATTACCTCATTGGGTACCATTTGTGCAACGCCAGTAAGCTCTTCACTAAAGAGGAGTATCGTGTCATGCAGGGTAAAAGCACGAGGGGCATGTTGAGGAGGACCATTCTCCTGCTGGGAACCGTCTCTGTGGCTTTTGTTGTGCTTAGCCTTCCTCGTTTTGTCACGTATTGCATCTTGAGGACCAACTACAATAATGAGAATTTTAATAGAAACGACTACAGCATTCCAATCAACGTTGCCGGAGACATTGCCAACATGCTGCAGAACCTGAACTCCACCACAAACTTCCTACTCTACTGTATGGTCAGTCGCCGCTTCCGGCAAGAGCTGGTCCAGGTACTGACTTGTAATGAGAAGGCACTTGAACTGGGCTCTGTCCTCACAAATACTACCATGAAAGTTTTTTCAGTGGTGGATCATAAGGCTTCATATTCCAGCAACCCTGTGTCTGTGGTGCTAACCAGTTTAAAACCTACAGAATAGAACGAACTCCAATAAGATAAAAAGGTTAAAGTTTCTTCTTTAAACTAGTTTTAACATAAAAGCTGTGAATCAAGGTAAACTTACCTAATTTTATAGGCTGTATCCCCGGAAACTCATCAACTTCGATATTAACCTAAAGCCAGAATGATGTGTTTGGTTGGTTTACACAGGTAGAACAGTATCAGCATATACGCAGATGGTGTATATGAAAAACTTGTTTAACATGATATATTGCAAAAACAGATACTTGGGACGAATTCTGAAAAGGTGTCAAAATGTCAAATGAAGTGAGAGGACTTGAAAGAAAGATTAAAATATCTATGTTGGTGTCATGGCTCTCAATACATACAACAATATTAGATTGCAGCAAAAGCCCAAATTGGACAGATGGATGACCTGCTCTGAAACACCTCAACAATTTCTTGATTGCTATGAAGTTATACATATGTCCCAAAAAGCTGAATCCAACAGATAAACAGATATTTTGTGAATTAATGCCACAGATAAGCCTCTATTTCTTAAAAAAAATTATGACTGAGATTTAAAAATTTATTTTGTATTCAATATGACCCAAAATGAGTGACTGAGCCCATAAACTTAACCTCTCAAAACGTTTTCCTTCTAAGTCAGAAAGCCATTTTTCCATGGACTTCTATGGGACTGGGAGTCCTTTTGCATTCACAGCTATCGTCATCAGGTGGACTTGAGACAGAAGGCAGGTTTAAGGAACTGCATATTGGCTGAATTTTTCCAACCGGGGTCCTACGTCTATGTTTTTACTGTATGTGATGCCAAGATATAAAGTACATCTACTGACATCTTCACCAACAGTCACTGGTTACTAAAGTTACATTATTAACCCAGAAGGTTGATTTTGGGCACTCTTGTTGTTTTAAAATCAACCTTCTGTACTACTGAAGGGTGTACTACCAAGGAAATAAGTCAGGCTTTCTTTGTATAAGCTGACTTGACAAAACCTAAAACCCCAGTCAGAGATGAGCGATATCACGCTATAATTTCTGCAACTTTCTCTGTTGAGGTGGCCTTTCTTTGCTGTGTCATATGATCTTTTTCCATATAAAATTATCCCTATGAATTCTGCCTATCATTCACAGTAGAGCTCTGGAACTTTAAAACTGGCCTGTACCTTAATAAAGGCGATGTGGAAATTTAGTTTGTTGGCAGAAGTTAAATCAATTTTATTGATTGACAGGTGCTCTTTGTGTGTGTTCTGCATTCTACTAACTGCGCTGTAAAAGAGCAGCAGATCAGAATCAAGTATATGAACATTTACACATTTTCTGCATCATCAGATGAACATTCCAGCAACATTGTGACGGTTGTACAGCTGCGCTTCATTTGCAATATCAGTGAGGTACAAAAGCCATGATACAGAGATACAATTTAAATTCTAATATGCAAAGAAAAAAAATCATGTGCAAGTCCAGCCGTTTGTAAAAAGAAATCCTGAACATAACCCGCTCCTGTTCAGGTTAAATTACCACCATTTTTTAGTCAGGTAGAAAGAGAGCCACTTTCATGACAAACAACTTAAAACAAGACTTTCTTGCTAACCTAGTAATCTAGCTTAATGACACACCCCTCTTGGTTTCTTCTTCCAAGCACAGGAATGACCAGTGTTGAACATCAGAAAGAATGCAAGTTTAAGATATTAAACTAGTTCTCTTTTCAGACCCAGAAGTTACTGCATTTTTTCCCATCCACACAAAAACATGGTATGCATTTTGCTCAAAGAACCATTATATACAACCTTTTGCCCGACTGTGGGCCTTTGTCAATACAGTTTGTTTATAAAACAAAAAAGGAAAATCAGACTTGGGTGTGATATGGATCATGTCTAGTTATGAAACAAAAACATGTTCTTGGTTGATGGCCTTGAAAATGGGTCACTGTACCGTTTTATACATGCTGTAGTATATGTTCTTTACCTGTCAAGTCCTGTGTATCCTTTTCCCCCCTGCTGCTTCAATTTCATTGCTTCACAATGTGTGATGAAAACAAAACATGACACCTTTCCAACAAAACAGTTGAATGTGGCTAGCTGCAGCCTGCCTACCTGGTTGAAGAAGCAACCTGATTGGCAGCCCTGGAGTTCACGCTCCACACCTTTTGCATAAATGGGTCACGAGACTTCCAAGATTTGCATAAGACAGGAAGGAACAAGCAGCGGGAATGTTTCCTGTTTGCCACAAAACAGGTTTGTGCTGAGGCTGAGCAGCTTTAAGCGAAGGTAGGTGTGAAAACACATTGGCTTTGTTCTTTAACTTGTAATGTCAAACACCATGTTAACTTTTGACTCTTTTTTTTTTTTAGTTATTGTTTAAAAAGAAATACCTGGCATTGCTTTTGATGAATGATTCTGACCTTTGTACTTGTTTGTCACGATCAGGTTATGCTTCAACCCACCTGTAGAGATCCTCCGTTTTCACTTGTTTCAGTGTGAAAAATAAAAGAACACATGAATACTTCTACCGAGAAGCGTTTGCCATATTAAGGGTAATGCTTTTCCCTGTGGTTCTAGTCTCGGTTTGTAACCGCCATGTTGATTTTATGTAGGGCGTTTTGCTGTGTGTGTGTGTGTATGTGCGTGCGTGTGTTTTTGTGTGTGTCTGTCTTTAAGGTGCCATGTTGCAACAGATTATTTTAACACTGCTTTCATTTTCACCACAGAGGCCAAAGACACTTTTAATTGGTAAAATAAAATTAAAAAAATGGACCCTTATAAAGGTAGGAAGGCACAGACACAGAGCTATCAGCTTGCCAAAAATGCCATTTTAAGTGAAGTGAGTAAAAACCTGTTGATCTTTTCCTTCTTGCTTTCAGGGCCTTGTCCCCATCATAGCATTCCTGTTGAAATGGGTGAGACTCTGGACTTGGAACGGCTCCCCCCATGTGAACAGTGTAACGCACACACAGAGACCGTCAAAAGGCTAGAGGCCCGTGAATTTGAGCCTCCACAGCGGGCAGCAAAACAAGTGGGCTTGAGTAAATTCCCTGAGAACCAGTATAAGCACCAGTTTCGCATTAACTCTCCAGCAGCACCACTCTCGGGACACGTGAATGCCCCATTCATGGAAGATTTTTGGCATGTTAGCCTAAGACAGAAAGTGCAGTATAAGCAAGACCCCATAGGCCCTTCAAGCCAGCACCGGAGCCACTCTGTGGACGATGCAGAGTACTTGGAGCCCCCCCAACCGCTCAAATCGGACTTCAACAGCATCAACTATGTTAAAATGCCAATTCCACATATGCCATGTGAGTATGTCAGTGAATTACCACTGGATTGTTTCATTTAAGTAGATCTGAAAAATTATCCAATATTTACACAGAACACCGTAAAAGAGGTCACAAATTAAAGGAAAAATAATCTGTACCTTAATCCCTTACAATGTCTCAGTTTTTGCTGATATGTTTGGAGTCCACAGATTTACGTGGAAAACAAAAAAATACGTAATGCATAGGTTTCTCTACTGTTTACTGAAACCTTTCAGCATAAACAATCACACCCACAACTTTAGGCCTGTGAAGAAAAAAAAAATCCAACCAGGTGAGCAGGAAAACAAATTCACACAGAAGTCAGCGCTGTTGTGCCACATTGTAACAGGCTGTAAAAATGTTAAGCATTTTAAAATGGGATTCTATAGGGACTGACAAGCTGGTGAACTGTAGCTTTTAGCTTCCTTTTTCAGCCCTGTTTGTTGATACTGTGTCATAGGACACTAAAACACCAAACTCATGCCCACTTTAAGACATCTTTACTTTGCGGCTGGCGCTCAATAACATGGAAACATCGAGTGTCCCATAACAAATGCTAACTATAATTGGTCATATTGTGACTATGAATTTGACATATGATATTGAATGTCACTGAAAAAAATTGGTTGTAGGCAGCAATCATTTAAAACCATAATTTTAGCACTCAAGAACAAACAGTAAATGTGCTATTGCATTCCAGAAGCAGGACAATCTGCATCTCATTTCTGCTAAACCATCTGAAAGAGGAACTTATGTCTGCTCCTCTGTGTCTGTCTGCAGGCCACATGCCAATGCAGGGAAGCTGTCTGAAACAGCGCGCGTGCTGGCCTCCAGCAAACCTGCGCGGACGCGATAATTATTGTCATCAAGACCCGGGTTACCCAGCAGCCCGACACCAGGAGCCTCAACCTCACCAGAAAATGTTTGTCATTATGATCTACTAATTCTAGCATTGGTTCACTGGTGGAATACTTTCCCCAATACCGTATGTTGTGAGTCACTCTGTGGTCATTTCTCATCATTTCCCTCCACAGGAATCTCTCTCAAAATGGGCAGCAACTTAAAGGTGCTCTTAATGGTCACTGTGGTTCTGCGCCTCCCTATGCAACACCTCCTCTAGACGTGATGCATGAGGTCAGCGTGGGTTGCTCCGACCTTGCAGGCGCAGGATCGGGCACGAAGGAGATCAGGAGGACCATCAGTCTTCCCGAGGAGTGCAGTAAGTCCCACCATGTGCCAAAGCATGCATCATTCCCTTCTGTTTCATGTTTCCCTTCTGTTCAGGATAATGACTGATGGGTTTTTTTGTTTTCTGTTTTTCCCCTCCCTCATTGACAGGAAGAGTTTTTATCACATATTCAGTGGACATAGCCAAGGAAATGTTCATGTTTGTTAAATTTCTCGTGGACCAAGGCTTTAGACCCTCAGTAAGTCCATCAGCCTTTGATTTCCCGCAGATGCTCACTCCACTTCAAATGTTCTCACTCGCTCTGCCTTTCCTCAGCTCGACATGTTTGACAGTTCAATCCGAAGCATGGGTATCAACCAATGGATGGACCGTTTTCTGAATGATGTAAGTGTGACGGCTGAGTTTGATTAGGCAATTCTTCAACTCTTATCACAGCTGTGCTGAAAAATTGACAGTGAGGATTGTTTTGACAGAAATCAGTGCTGATCATTGTGGCCATCAGCCCCAAGTACAAAGCGGATGTGGAAGGAGATGGAGTCGATGAGCATGGCCTGCACACAAAGTACATCCACAACCAGGTAAATGGCCTCTTAGGAACTGAGAAGCAAATATTTTCTCACAATGTCTCCCTCTTGTGGCTTTTCTGTATCATTATAGTACCTCCTCTCACATTTCAATTGCATGGAAGAATGAGGAAATACCTCCCAGGGACTGAAAACAGCCGTTCCTCCCAGATTCCTCACTGTGTTAGTGTGCCAGAGCAGAGTGCAGTCAAATTCTTCTGCTTTCTGTCAGAGCATCAATCACAATGTGTAATTGTGTCAATGTTAGGTGACAAGGAAAATACATTTTGGTTGAACTCATGAGTGAAGCCTTTGTTTAGTTCTATCACTGACTATCCTTTCACAATGGCACAGATTCAAAATGAGTACATCCAGCAAGGCTGCCTGAACTTCAGACTGGTTCCTGTGATGTTTCCCAATGCAGCCAAGGTAAGATTGATCAACACATGATTGGGGGGACGGACGGACATGTCTTTGTGATTTGTGTGAACTGACCCTTTAATAAACCACTCACCATCACCCCGCATTGGAAGCATAAGTAAAACCTATGTGAGGAAATAAAACCCTCCAAAAAAACTGATTGAAAAGAAAAGGACAAATAAAGTTTACAGCTTTGTGTAGACTATAAACAGGAAAGAGATGAGGGCAGTTAGGTTCCAGGTAAAAGGCCCATGAATCCAGAGGATTAAGTACATTGACTGTGCATGCTAACCCACGGCTACCCCTCGTATCCTCTTACAGGCTCATGTACCCAGCTGGCTTCAGAGTACCAGAATCTACCGTTGGCCCCAGGACACCCAGGATTTGCTTCTGCGTCTCTTGAGGGAGGAGCGCTACATCATCCCACACCGGAGTGCTGACCTCACCCTCACGTTCCGTCCTGTCTGAGAGCAGTAAAAAGAGGACTGGGACAAAATATGTGGCATAGTTAAAATTGTTTACTTTACCCCAGATTTACTGATCTTTTACAGTGTTCAGTTATAAACAATCAATGAAGTTGAAGTTTAATCTAACTTTTACAAGTAGATTAAACGTACTTGTTTATTTCCGACAAATCTGCTTTTACACTGGCCAATCAGAGCTTTGTAGGTTTCATTTTGGTTTCTTATTCTTTCCTTAATATACACTTCAAATGAATTTAACCAATATTTGTCTACAAGAAGGCAGAAAGGCTTTTTTCTAGCTTATTATATTAGAAACATTAGTACATATCTGAAGTTGTGATTTTGTGCATGTGAAAGATCTGGCTTAGTCTTCACCAACACTTACAAATATCTGGATATTCAGCCACATAATTATTTATCTAATCTATTTTTTTCCTAACAGTGTACAGTTAAGTGCTGGGCAGGTACAGTGCTTTAAGAGTAATCTCAAAACTGAGAAGCATTAGTATATTTTGAGAAGTGTGTTTATTTTTAATATCTTTCAGCTCACAAGGCAACGCAGGCCACTACTACTACTAATGATAAAAAAAACTATATAGAGATAGAGAGATATAGAAAATCAACCAAAAAAGGAGTACTAAGTAGGACTGTAAAAAAACAAACAAAAAGAACATTCTGGATGTAAAATTGCAAAGCATTTAGAGAATTCATGATCTAGAGTAAATAAGTATCACTAACATATTTCTGTACATAATAGAAAAAGCTGAAAATTGATATTGAGCGGCTATGATTTTCAAGACGTGATTCAGCGGTAGACTGCATGGGCTAAGGATTTGTTCTGAAAGAGTCCGTGGATGTGATATCTGACTGCATTTACAAATGCACGTTCAAAAACCACGCAAACGCACAGACCACCACTATGATCCAGGAATACTTCTACCCTCTGGAGTAAAGATGAGAGTGAATATCCTGCTTGTTATCAGCATGCAGTTCAAATGCCAGCACGTATGATGGTATGGAGGGCATTGGTCCGCATAGCACCAGTGCCTGAACTGTTGAGCAGTTGAAATCCTTCATTAAGCAAAGATTGTAAAATATTTTGCTTTCACAGCAACATGTACTCCTGGGTCTCCCCCAGTAAACACAGTGTGTTGTTTTTAGAAATGTACAGTAAAAAAAATTCTGTTTCAATATTTGATGTTGTCTTGTTGTCTTCATTACCAGCAAACCATGCGGTTTTTAATATATTTTACATGGCACAGCTTTCAAGGAAATAATGTAGAAAATTAGAGAAGGAGGAATGTTGATTGAGGAAAGAGAATCAAGGAAGTGCAGAGAATTAGTAAGGAGGAAATGAGGGCGATGGATAAAAATGCATTTGGTCCAAATACCTGTAGAAGTGCTGAGATGTCTACAAGAGATGGAAAGTGATTTAAACAAGACTGCTTAACACAATCTGTGTTCAGCATGAGAGCATGTCTGAGGAATGGGGAAGAACTGGTACTGATTTTCAAGCTATGCAGGGATAAAGTTGTTGAGCCCTGCCATGAAGCTATGTGAAAGCGTTGTTGAAACTAAGTTAAGAAGAGAGGGGATCATCAACAAGCCTGAGTGTGGTTTCCTGCCAAGAAAGTGCATTACATTCAGTCAGGAGGTCAGGAGTGACAGAAGTATGTAAAGATGGTGCACAACATTTATGAAGACGGTAAAACAATGGTAAGGTGTGCGGTATGAGTGCCAGATGGGTTCGAGTTGGGGGTGGAATTACATCAGGGATCAGCTCTGAACCCTCCTTGTTTGCAGTGGTGATGGACAGGCTGATAGATGAGGTCAGACAGGAGTCTCTGTGGACTATGATGTTTGTAGGAAATGTCTGGGAGAGGTGGAGGTATGCACTAGAGAAAAGCAATTAAACTGAATAAAAGCAAGACAGAAATCATGCAGCTGAGAGGGAGAGAAGTGTAACAGTGAAGCTACACGGAGCGGAGGTGTCACAGTTCTGGGCGTTTTGACCCAGTATTTTGAGTTTTCATGTTTTAGTTTGATTTTGTATTTTTGGTTATTTTCTTGATCTATTTGATGATGATGTTCTATGTTCCGGCTTATTCTGGTTTATGTTTAGTTCTGCCTGTGTTAAGTCTGTGTTTCTTAGTCTGCGTCCTTGTGTATTGTTTCCTGTTTTATTTTGAAGGATTGTGTCTTATGTCAGTATGTCCAGCTTTGCTCCTCCTGTCTTGTTAGCCCCAATTTCTCCCAGCTGTGTCTCCCTCCTGTTTCACATTCCCTAATCACCTCAGTATGTATTTTAGCTCTGTGTTTTTCCCTGCCGGTTGTTGCATCCTCCATGTTTGTTGTGTGCGTGTTCGTCGTTGTCTGCCTTCAGGTTAGAGTCATTTGCGTCTCCAGTCTAGTTAGTTTAAGTTGTTGTTTATGTATCGCCAAGTTTGTCTCACCAGCAAATAAAGCTGCCGTTTAAGTTAATGTTTTGTCTCCGAGTCCTGCACGTGGGTCCAGCCACTAACAGCCACACAACTCATCGTGACAGGAGGTAGTGAAGGTGGATACATTTAAGTTTGAGAGCCAAAGCAAGGGGTGTCAGGGTGGGATTGGTGACAGAGGAATAGCAGCGAGACTGAAAAATGTTTACATGATAATAATGAGACCTGTTAAAATGTATGGTTTGGACGTGTTTGCACTAACATAAAGACAGGGGATGGAGGTGGTACTGAGTTGACTACACTAAGATTGTCATTGGGAGTGACAAGAATCAATGGGATTAGAAATGAGTATATGAGAGGGACGGATCAGGTTGAGTAGGTTGGAGACAAAGTTGGAGAGGTAAAGCGGAGATGCTCGCAGATGCACTGAAACAATGTTAATTACAGGATAATTGTCTTCTCAATTCAACACAAATTTGCTATAAATATATAATGCAGGTTTTTGAAAAGTATTATTTAAAATGTTGCAATGCTGAAATAGAAAATGAGCTTATGAACACAGGACAATTTGAATCTGTTGTTCTTATTTATTTGCGCTTATTTAAAGTAAACAGCACATTTCCAGATAGCCACGTGCTCGCAGAGGTCGAGTCTGCAGTACCGCAAAGTCTACGGTGACCCTGGATGGTTATGTAGACGGTCCATCCCCGTTCGCAGAGAAGTACTTTGGTGTAATGCAGAGGCTAACTGGAAGAACCAGAAGATGGCAGCATGTACCAAACAATAACACCCAGCATCAGTCATCTGTTCATGGTGAAAGCGCCAATGTCTTCTCCAATTATACATTGTTTTATTATTTTTTTATTTAAAAAATACATGTAAAAATGTATATTTATTTATTTTTAAACTGGGGTCACCTTTCACTTTGAACAGATTACAAAAAAGAAAAAAAATGTCGGTCATAAAGCATCAGTGTGATAAAACATGTAGACAGGGGCCCAGGAAGTCTGGTAAAAACATCCGGTCCATATGTTCCACCACTGACTCCCTGATAAGCCAGCATTGTGTGGGGCACCTTTAACTGCCAGATTTTCACTCTGAACTTCATTTTACTCGGTCAGTGTGCACAGCCTGTTTACCAAACCTGACAGAAAAAGAAAAAAAAATGTTTCTCACATATGTGTGCATCTCTGTGGGGAACTCTGCTGATGTCCAAGCTTTTATCAGCTCCTGCATGAGGTGCCTGCGTGTAAACAGAGCTGCAGCCAGAACCAATAAATCCACTGTTTGTTATTGTTTCAGGACCTGCACACCACTCCACTCAGTCTTATCTGGTGGATCCAAAGCAGCCAAACGCACGTATTCTTCCTAAACGGCATGAAGTTACATCTAATACATGAGAATCCTACAGAAAAGCACTATGGGGAATCAAAATGACATTAATATGTTCAATGAGAGGTCTGTCAGTCTTTTGCCTGCATTGCCTGCTTTTTGCAAATTTTACAGAATTCTTAGAAGAGACTGTTCATGAAAAATGCTTTTCCTCAAGTGTTACCATTATTGGGAATGCTGTAAAACCCAAGATCCAAACCCTTCCCAGGATAATGTGGGAAAAACACTAATGTGTGTTTGCCCACGTTAGCTGAAACGGCAAGAACATTTCATCAACAAAACTTGACCATTAAGCTACCCTTCCAATATATATCCATCTCTCTCTCTATATCACATCACATCTATCTATTGATTTTCCCCCCTAAAACATTACATTAAAGAATGAGCTCATGCAACCAGTGAATGTTTCACAGTAATCTCAGTAACCTCCACACATACTCAATATTGTTATCTCAGTTCCAGGAAGCACTGAAACACACAGTCCAAATGCAGGACAAAGAGGCTGATTAAAATCCAGACACACATAGCCTAAAGGAAAACAGCAATCCCAGACTAAAAGCATGACAAATGCTACAAGAACACATGGCGCACAAACAGATGCACTGACAAAGGGAAAGGCAGGACTATATAGCATTAGACAGAGGTGAAGCCCATCAAACACAAGTGGAACTAATGATAGCGGGGCAGACAAACACAAAAGTGGGCATGCAAGGTAAGCAGGAAGTAAAACTACAAGGAGACACATTAGAACTAATCTTCAAAGCAAAACATGACATAACCAAACAGAGAACCCTGGCACATAAAGAATAACCCTAATAAACACAGAAGGCACAGAGAAAACATCAGAAACAAATAAAACTTGACATGATTCTTCAGACTCATCGCCTAACAGAGAAATGTGCAACACATTTTGAACACACACCAAATCTGAACATATCCACAAATGTTGCTAGATTTGAACAAATCGGAGATGGTAAATTCCACTGATTATTCACTTACATGAGAACAGGTGGGACATGCGCATGTAAGAAGGTGACATCGCCAAACAGGAGACGCAAAGCAGGCTGATATCAGAAGGACCTGAACCAACTTGTCTCACACTAACACATCTAAAACCAGGTGAGAAATAAAGGTCTTCCTGTGTTCTACTTGAGATGGCTCTACCTTAGACTGATGTTGAAAGGGTAGAGATTGGTGCAAAAGAACTGACAGTAATGGAAGAAATAAAGTCTGTGATAGTGAGAATTGTTTAACATCAAGTTTTGGAGATACAAGGCAAAAGAACCAAATTTATGATCTATGTACAAACCCACTTCCATTAAAGCACGTTCAAAGTTATAACTGTTACACGTCGGTTTGACAGAAGAATACGTAAGAGCTCAAGGTCCTTGATGGCAGACATATGAAACAGCTCAAGGATGTCACTCGTTTCCCTCCTCTCCTTCACTGAGGAGAACAAATCCTTAAGAACAGATTGCCTATGAAGCAGGAAGTTTTAGGCTCTGCTCCCACTGGGCTCATCCATACTAAAAATGTATGCACTTAGCACTGTAAAGCACTTTAGCTAAAAGCTCCCACCAAACACTACATTAAATATGGCATCCATAATATTTTTGGATTTGTTTGATAAGTGCTCTCAGACCTCGGGCATGCTGCTGGCAAATGCAAGCATACGACTGCCGATTGGTTCATTAAGAGGGCCAGGCTCTTACTCAAGGTCAGCGCACACTCCAGCAGACAGAGGCTCCCTTTGTCTGCTGGAGCGTGTGCTGATGAAAATGCTAATGAAACATTTTTATCATCGGGGAGTCGTTGACTGCCGTGTCCCCAGCATGAACTGGACCGAACCAGCTGTTTGTAGAGGGTTATGGCTCTGTCACTGGAGAGGAGAAAGCAGTGAGCTCAGCACATCCAGCACTGCTGCCTGCCATGTACTGGCTGTTCGAGGAATCTGAGCAGAATGATGAAGAGCTTGGAGATTTGTTATAGGCATCCATAAAAAGCACCCGTGAGTGCTGGTCACACTAAATCATAGAAAGTGCATTAAAAGTAAAAAAAAAACCCCAAAAAAACAACTTGTTTCGAGGTGTTGCAAGAACAGGATGCTGTTGATACCATAAGGAACAAGGACAAGCCTAATAGGCAATAAAGCAGAGAAGCATCCGCTGATCCTGAGATCTGCTGTAATTCTGAAACATTTCCCAAGAATTGAAGGTATTTGATCAATGCGCTATTTCCAGACCATTATAAAGAACATGTGAACACCAACATTGGTTTCTTATTTCACAGCCATAAGCTACATTCATAGTTTTAAAATACTACTGTATAAACAAATATTTTGACATGAAATGAATCAGCTTTAAGCAAGACGTCTTCTTCTTCTTTTCTGTTTGGAACAAAAGAAAAGAAGAGACATTTCATAAGCTATAACTTCATATGCTCATTGTTCTCATGTGACTCAGAAATATACTTCCTCCTACCCCTTATAACTTAAAGTCAAGTCAAGTCAATTGGACTTGTACAGGTCAATGTACCATGTAAAGTCTCAAAAATGCTTCACAGACAGGACATGTAATCATCATCCTCGTCTTATTAGGATAATTTTCCTTCCTCACAATAAGATAAATAGGATATTACCCTTTCCCCTAATTCACACATACCTACACAGTGTAATGATATAACACCTATAATAACAATGCTCTTGCCAATGTTTGTTTGTGGTGCTAAGTACTCTGCAGTGTTAGGTGAAAGGTTTCACCTAACAATGCGAGCTCAAAAAAATTAATTCCTGTCACTTATATTGTAAAAACAAATATTGAATCTTGGATCTGTATTAGCAAAAATTGCGTCTATTTTCATATTTATATTATTTAAAAAAAATGCCAATCGGGATGTAACAGGATAGAACCGGTGACTTCGTGCATTTGATTTGTGACATGCTTATAAGGGTATTTTTAGGACAACTCGCCACATAAAACGTTCTAACCTGAAGGTTTCTGCAACCATTATACACTAAGAAGCTGAGGGATAGCACATTCTGTCTCCTGCTGGCGGAATAATCTTATTTGAATGATGGGAATTTCCAAACAGATGCAGCTTTGTGGCCTAATGCGCTTAGCCGGAGAGATGGTCCAAAAAACCAAGTATATATGCCTCCCAGTTACGTAGCCCATAAACAACGTATGCCATGGCTGAGCCTTTCAAAATAAAATGGTCGTTCTCACTCCAGTGTCTTGTATCACTGCGCTGGACTAGTCAAAAATCATTTTATTCTGAAGTGTGCACACGGAAGTACAACTCTTTGGATTTTGAGTAGCTTTGTGAAAGGTTAGCTAACGCGGGCTAGCCTGATATGGAAGAAGAGGGAGCAAGAGGAAGACTGAGGGTCTACCTGAGAAAAGCGGACTGGCTGGGACTAGTTCTGAGGGGTGATTTCGAGAGATAACGTTACATACTGGAAGGAATGTCCTCCTGGCTTACAACACCACAGAGATAGCTAAAATCACGGGACAGCCGCAATCACTACTAAAAACATGAAGCTGACAGCTGCGGAGCGCCTGTTAACAACCCGCCACCGTCGAGTTTAGCTCCCCGTGGCTGCAGCTGGACATTAACGGCGACGGCACCTCGGGAAGCGTTGTAGCCAACGGGAATCTTTGTTCGCGTTTTTTCCCGTTCTTCTTTTTTTCCCTTCTTCCATGGGACACAACTGGGCTTTACCTCCGCTCTGCCGTTGTGTTACCGCCGTGACAGCAGCAGTCTTCGGCTGGTATCGACTGGCCACCGTGGTCCCTGCATCTTGTGGACTCCTAGCAGCTAAAGTTTTTTGGCTTATTTGACGGACGCGGCAGTCATGTTTGCTGTACGAATCGTCACCGCAGACTACTACCTGACAAGTCCCATTAAAGACCTGGACGTCTGCTATTCTGAATTCAGGGAGAGCGATGTGAAGAAAGTGCCGGTGGTGCGGATATTTGGAGCAACACCAGCAGGTTAGCCTTGTCCTGTGTTTTATTCTCGTTGACTCTTCAGTAAGCTAAAGCTTGCTGCACGCGGCGTGTCACAGGTTTGTTGCCTTCGCTGCTGCTGCTGTTTGGACACGCGCGCACAAACACATCCGCGCTGTATTGTTCCGAGGAAACCTAACGGGTGTTTTATGTATGTGACAGGAAGATGTTGTAGGGTGTTGACACGTTTTACCAACGCGGCATGCAGCCCTGTTGCAGCAGTGGGAGCCCTCCGCTGTGCTTTGTTTTCGCTCCATCGTGGTGCGGTGGCGGACACCTTTTCGTCCGTGGGGCTCCGCTTGGTTCTCTGTCTGCCACATGTGGCATTCAGGGAAACTGGTACCTTTCCCCTGCGATGCTTTTATTGTATTTATGGCAACCTGTGGAGTGTGGCTGGCATGCATATATATATATATATATTTATTTATTTTATTGGGGGGGTTGAAAGGATAACACCATTTTGTTGCCTAACTGTAAAATGGGTGACAGTATTATATGGTGGAAGGAAAAATGTATAGAATAATTACTGTATCATGTGTTGATAAAGCAGGGCAGTCGTGACTTTACATTGATAGCCTTGACAACAGAGGTTGTCATTGTATACAAAACGGAACATGCATTGTGTGAGTGTGTAATGTTCAGCGCTACAAGCCTGGACAAGACCCCTACAGTATGTGGAGTAACTATCGTGGCTTGCAGGTGCTGCTTTAGATAAAATATACAGGACAAATGTGTTGCAGATATTTATTGTAGATGTGTGTTTTTTCTGAACTGTGCCACATGCCCTGCTCTTCGGTATAGCCATTACAGCCAGGCATTCTGGCCACTTTAATCCCCACAAAACAAAAGAATGGTTTTCCTGTACAATGGCACAGCATTAGCAACCTGTGCCAAATCCTCCGGCAATCACTGTGCCCTCTTTTCAACCTTGTTTGATGGGTGAAGACACATTGCAGTGTAGTGACTATAGATATTCTTAGCAAGGTTTGTCCCCAGTGGGGGGGAAATGGTGAGTTACACTTGCCCCCTCGCCCAATCAGTGCTCCTGGGTCTCAGGATGACCTGGAGCAGCGTCCAGCAGGATGTGCCCTCAGTGAGGATTAAAGGCTTTACAACGGGGGACAGCGGGTCATGGTGAGGAAGGTGTCTGCTGTGGTTTGGCCCTGTTTGTGTTCAGGTCTGCACATTCACATGCAGTGCTTCTCATGCAAATTGAGTATACAGACCCAGAAACTGCAGTGATGGCTTGTTAGGTGAATGTACTGTATGTTGATCAGAAAGTACCACAGTTCAATAAACAGAGTGTTGCAATCCTTAGAGCAGAGGCATGTGCTGATTTTAGTGTGAATGATAAGGTCCAATATTAAAACCTGAAGTGACTGGTGGTGTGGATAACATTCATTGTTTTGCTGGGAAACCCTGCATCCTGCCAGTCATGTGGACGGTAGTTTGATTTTTACCACCCAACTTGCCTCAGATAATGTGACTTCTATCCACCAGTGGTATCCTCCAGCAGGACAGTTATCTGCACAACAAACATGAAGAGACCAGTGTGTTGACCCGGCCCCTGAACTCCCCAAATCCTTATCCAAATCAACTTCCACCAGAGAACAAGCCCGTTCCATGGATGTTCTACGCGTAGCAAACCACAGAATCCAGAGAATTTGCTTCCAATGTTTCAGTGCCTAACACCCAGACGTCTTGTGTACGTTATGGAGGGAAGAGCTATTTTAGTGGCACAAAGTCAAAGCAGTTGTTGTGGCTGTTCTCTGTATGTTATTAATTAATACCTTTTTCTCGTCTCAAAGTGTAGTAGTAGTAATGATAGTGATAAGCAGATCCATTGTTTGAACGTTAATGGTTCATTTAAGTAATTTTTAAACATTTTTTTGTCAAACAATTTTATTTCCCCTTTCTGTTTGATATGAACTGTGATAGTGAACCGCATAATCTAGGCTTCCTGTCAGATAAGTCTTTGTTACCTTGGGCTGTAAGAAGTCATCATAATTTGATGGCCTCTTAATAAAATGTGGTTGACAGTAACTAATATATTAATGTTTTTGGTGTTGGAAGATTTAGGAGGCTACACACGTGTGCAAAAGTATGCATCTGAAGGGAGGTGTACACTAAAACAACTAAATGGTACAGTTTTTTTTGTTTTTTTTTTTTTTCTTATTTGCCAAAAAACCTGTAGCAAACACAAGTGCACTGGTGCAGGTCACTCAGCTGAATAATATCCAGCCACATTCCACTTGTGTTTTTCCTGCTCTGACATGCACAAATGTCTGCAGTGAAAAAGAGCCAGCTACATAATTGTCATAACAATGATGGTTTGTCGATACGGTTGGTTTGACCCACGTGTGTTTGCCAACACACTTGTCTAAATGCCTATGCCTCTGATCCTATCTGATTGGTTAACATTCTTGAGTATGCAGCAGTGAAACAAAAGCGAGGATCCCAGTGGAGCATTAAGAGCTTTCATTGATTGAGTCCTTACAGGTTCAGCAGCACACGAACAAGCCTCGTTTCTCTGCTGTGCGTGTTGTATCTGCAGTTTGAATATCGGGCTCTGTGTTGTTTCCACTTGCAGTAATGACAGAGTATCTTGTCTGCAGTCTGTGCATTGCGGTCGATGCCCTGCAGATTCTCATAGTTGGATCCCTCTCTCGTTCAGTTTATGTATCAGTTGTGTGGCCACATTTTCAGATTTAAAATTACATCACCATCTGGAAAGCATTGAAGTGGAGAGGGATCTCTTTCTTTCTTCCTTTCCTGCAGCTTAGAAACAAGCCACACCTACTAGAAAGTTTTTTTTTTTTTCTTCTTCAGATTTCACTTTGCCTTTTATGGTTTCATTGCGTTGACTCCTCAGACTGTTCATGTGCCTTTATCATTAGCGTGTTTACTCTGGTGTAAGCGGTCAACAGCGCATCCACACCACGTGGCTCTTTCCACAACCCCAGGCCTCATATTTCCTGTCCTTCCCTGACCTAAGCAACGCACACTCCCACTGTGTAATTTGATGCCAAGTTTCCTGCTTTTTTCCCCCTCCCCACTCTTTGTTAGCATTCAGAGACTGTCCTGCCTCTGCAGCACACATACTGTACATGCATGCCCATCTTTGGTTTAGCTCAAGAGGAAGACAATACAAGGAATCCTTTCGTTATAAAAGTTATTGGTGCTGTTGAGGTGCCGGAAACCTTTTAAGGGCATGCATCTCCAGGCTTGAAGCTGACAAGCTAGATCTAGATACGCTGACGGGGCCTGGTCCTCGTGGCAACAGGAGGCACGCTGTTTTGGTTCATCGCTTGGATGTGTACACTAGAGTGTTTGTTGGGTACGCATGAGAGCGGAGAGGGGGAGAAAGTGCATGACCAATTGACCTGAATGAGAGGGCCAAGCATTGAAGCCCAGAGGGTGGTAAAAATGAGGGCCTCTTTTTCTACTCTGGCCCTTTCCTTCCCAGGTTTAGCACTCTCCAGGGGAACCCTTAATACCATCTGAAGGAATTCCTCCTGATCCATTAATAGGATAATAGGCAGACTAGAAAGGAGACTGGCTCATTAAACAGAAGGTCATTGTTCCCTTTACTGTTTACTCTCCTGTCTTTCTGTCGAACCAGGGTTCACTTATCGTATGATTAAGATGTTTAGTTGTTGACAGGTTTTCTCTGGAGTTGCCTTTCGTTCTTTTCCCCCACTGATTTTACACTTTTGTTTAAGCTTAAGTGCAGGTTTACCATAGTGATAGAGTAGAAACACAAAAGAAGACCGAAGGCTGCTCTGCACTAATCCTCCTCCTGTGATGTTTTTTTTTTTTCTTCCTTCCCTTCAGATGAGGCCCGGCTTCTTGTCAGGGTTTTTTTGAATCTTCAATAGAGGAAGAAACATTTTAGAGTATTTTCGATGTGGGGACACAGAGTTACTGTTCATTTGAAAATCAATTAAATACTTGATGTTCTACATGCAGAGGACAAAGGAGGTGTTTGGGTTTTTTGGGGTTTTTTTGGCAGTACTGGCGGTTACTTTTTACCAGTATGTTTGGAGAGCATGTACAGTGACTTAATGTTTTAAGAAAAAGGTATGTTATTAATTTTAATCTATAAATCCTGTATGACTAATAGAGGTGGGAATCACCATACATCCCACGATACGATATTATTGCAATTTTTTAAAATATTTTGCGATATTCAGATTCTGTACATAAAGGTAAACTTTATCAATATTCATTTTATCTAATATCAAAGTCTTGCACTCAGTCTTTCTCTCAT